CTGCAATTTCTTCAGCATCAGATAAACAAATTTCCTCAAGATCTGTTTCACAGCAAGTGGTGGTCAACAATCCCACTCTCAAAAAATCTCGTTATTTTCAAAAACCAACTTCATCAACCATTTGTGTGGTTGAAAAAGAGCTTTTTAACCAAAACCCAGTTTTACTTTCTCAAAATCATTTTGTCAAAGGTTTTCATTATCCAACATCAGATTTTCGGAAAATACAAAATTTTTATGAGTTTATTTTAGTGGATACTGATTCCGTCAAAATTCGAACTCATTCAAAACCGGGTGATGAGTCTTTCATTTCTCACACCACATGTACCATTCAAAAAGTCCTTACTCCAGCAGCCTGAGGTAAAAACATCAATGCTCCGAGGCAATTTTCTCAGCCTCGCAACCCTCAAACTTTCAATTACTGGGACTATCAGGATGCCTGGTACAATACCTTTTATTTCCAAAATCAGGATTATAGCCATTCCTGGCTTATCCTTTTCCAAAAAAATTTCAATCTAAATGTCCCTAGATGGTTCATTGACTGGTGGCATATGTTTGGTCCCTGCCAAGAAATCATCCCTGAAACGATGTCCAAGGGATTTTCAATTTTCAATGAAAAATTCCATGCTCCTCCTGAGCTTTCCGAATTTCCCAAATCATTCTTATTTTTTGCAAATTTCGCATTGCCATGGATAGTACTATGGCAATTCCAAATCCTCAAAACCCCTTCTAATCTTTCTCTTCTAGGAAGGATTTTCAAAGTCAAATGGTGGGACCAATTCTCTATCAAAAATGTTACTCCGGAAGCAATTTCTGAATGGTTCTCAAAGCACCCTGCAATATCATGTTCTGGCTTAGGAGAGTCTTCGGCTTTCCTCCTATCCAAAAGCCAGGCCCAAGCAAAGCTTTCTTCAGCAAAATCCCAAGATGAGTATGAAGCCTTCCTCATGGAAGCTCTAACCCAAGTCAATCCCATAGCCTTCTCAAAATTGGGCTCCAACAGAAGTGAAGGCTCAGGTTCTTTCCATGATTCCCAAACAGATCTGGCCCAACCCAATGAAGATGACTGTTTCGGTATTTTTACCCAACAGCTCCAGTAAACAATATTCTCAAAAATCATCATTTCATTTCAAAAATAAATAAATAAAAGGCAAAAACTACAGTTTAAAATTTTATTCAACAGTTCTCCATTTTCAGGCTTTTAGCACCTTTCGGTGTTCATGACAGACAAGCTTTTCAAAAAAGGAATCCAAGGCAAGTCAGTGGCCATCACCTCAATTCAGCCTTTCAGGCTTTGCACATGGCTTCCGGCATCATTCAGAAGACATCACCTCAAATCAGCCTTTCAGGCTCAGCACATGGCCTCCTGTTGCATCCTTATCTCCAAGGAATCCAAAGCTCCCCAAGGCTCCTTCGAGGCCCTATAAATAACAGCTCCTCAAGACATTGGAGGCAGGCTCAATTTTCAAGTTTAGATTTTAGTTTCTGTTTCAAAAGTTCTCAGTTCAAATTGTAATTTTTAAGTTTAAGTTTTTAGTTTTACTTCATCCAAGGAGCTCGGCTCAGAACAAAAGTGTTGTATTCAAAGATCAAAGTTGTAAGTTCCATATTTTAATCAAAAGTTCTTCAAAGTTATTCATGTTCTGTTGTTAACTTGCATATTTCCATATATATATTTCTCATTATTTACACCAACCAAATTATAATTATAAATTTATAATTATTTTTTAAAACCAACCAAATTATAATTTAAAATTAATTATTTTTAAAATTATTCTTTACATATATATATATATATATATATATATATATATCTTATCATCATCATGTACACCAAAAAATATATATTTGTGAGATAAAGAGTTTTGGGGATGACAAAGTAATAAATGAAGGCAATTTGGTTATTTCAGGTTTTTTATATTTTGGATTAAAATAGATTTTAAAAAATAGGGATAAAAGTAACAGAAAAGAAAATTGGGATATGAGTGATAGTTAATTTCGAAAAATGTTTGAGAGTGATATTTAGCCAAATCTGAAGGAGTGTGTCAGTGAAATTAACTCATTATTTTTTATACAAATATAAAAAAAAAAAATTGATAAAATATTTGATGTAAAGGGAAGATAGGCATCACAGTTTAAAATAAATAGATAAATATTGGCAAGGTATACCTTACCCTAAAAGTTGTTAGAATTTATTAGGGAAGAAAAAATAAATAAAAAATACCGACTAGTTCAACGACCTCATAATAGCTCATTGTCAAAAAAATAATAATAATAATAATAATAATAAAATGAATCCAGGACTCAACAAACTATTTTTTGTCTTTTAGTATGAAACGATCTATTGAACGAGAGAGAGAGAGAGAGAGAGAGATTGGTTATAAAAACCCATGCCATCTTCCTTTGTTCCTGCACACCACTCTTTCTTCATTTCCTTTCTAGACAGCTCTTTCTCCGAGTTTAGTTCCTTTCAAACATAGCTAGAGGTGAGTAAATTAGTAGTTATTCTTTATTTTCACCATTATGTGTGTATATAAATATATATATATATAATATATGAAAAACACTTGTGAGTTTTTGTATCTTATGCTTTTTTATTTTTTATTTTTTGTTATGCCGATAAATAATCTGCGCACTTGCTTTGCCCCCATCAGAATCTAGAGATTATCACCCTCCCACTATAAAAGACAAAGTAATACTACTAATTTTGGTAATCAACTTCCAATATATATTGTGTGACATGTGTTGGTGTTAATGAGCTCTAACACATATATGCAATTGCGTGTCAATATGTACACACATTCAGAAAATCAATTGAACAGAGCGTATATATTGAAGTAGATATAATCACCCTAATAGGACTTCTATACCAAATTTGATCGTCAGCCAAGAAGCCTAGCTTTCTACTTTTCCTTAAATGTCATAGACACATGCATATACAATATTCATGCACAAACCATATTATTATGTATAGCTTTGACCTGACTTTCGCATTCAAATTAACTTCATTTATGATCATACTTGTAATTTATTTTATTTTTTTTCATACTGCATCTTATTCACATTTATCTTATGTTTATCGTTATCGTTGCAGACCATGCCCGTAGCTAGTGGATACTATGAAAGCGTTGACGCGTCAGGACGCAATCTTGGATTCGTAAAAAATCCCGGGGAAACATGTTCGTCTCCTTTTTGTCCATCCCCAGCAGATAATCGCAAGTTGGTTGGATTCTTTGATATAGAATCGATTGGAGCATATTTTCAGAAAAAATTTGGACATGATCATCCACTTTACCGTAGTAGTATTATTATAATAAATAAAGTAATTTGGATAATGATCATGATATATCCACATTTTAATGATATGGTATTATATATAATCAATAATTAACTCCATTTCCATGGGATCTATGCACTTATATATATACATGGATGTTTTGTGTTGTCCTTTAAACTTGCCCAAAGTGGTTAAGACAACACAAATTTGTTTCCATGTGTGTGATTTCAGGTAATGTTTTTCAAGTTAGTGCGTGTGACAAGTTTGAAAGTGTGCTTCCATTATATATGTGTGTATTTTCTAAAATAATGTGTGTTGTAATAAGATTTCTGTGTCTTATATATGGGTGTACAGTGTCCTCTAATAATACTTGTGTGTTATTCTCTAGTTTTCTTATATATAATTAATGCATCTTGTTGATACGAAAATTTGACCTGCTGATGAATTCTAGTAAAACTTGCCACGTAGATGCAAAAGGTGCGCTGATTACCATATATGCAACCTCATCACCACATGGCACCAAAGATTAAATTAAAAAAATTTTGGTAGGAGAGATTATGGAAATGAAATATGTGTCCAAATATATTGGGAGAGATTTTAGAAGTCGTGCTAGATTGCAACGAACTAGCAAATATGGTATTATATCAAAGTGAGCACATAATAATACATCCTGTTAATTTACATTTTTTGATATATATATATCTATAAAATTATACTACCGACTATATTAAAATTATTAAAAATTTACACTATGGCTCACCCCCACCCAATGCAACGCTTACTACATAGAAGATGTCGAGTTGTTACTACATAGCAACTGTTACCCAATGCTTTGTGGATTGGTTCTAGTTTTATTTTGATAAAAGTAAAATTCAGACAGAAGTGCGAATTGAATTTATTCACCCCCTCTAGGTATTTTTCAAAGTACAATTCTATAATCATTCCGCGTAATGCAACTCACAAGAGAGAGTCGTAACAAGTGGGGGAGAGAAAAAGGACAGACCTTGGAAGAATTCAAGATTATTTTTGTCATTAATTTAGTGTGTGAAGATATAAAAATGAAACCTTTTAGTATAATTTTAGAGCGCAAATAGCCGCTCTTAAATAAAAACAGAGCTTTCATTTTCAGCAAGCCCCGTTTTACGTTTTAGTTGATACACGTTTTGAGAAGTTCCAGCGGTGTAGTTGAAGGGGGTTACCATTTTGAATGAGAAGAATAAAGGAAGGAATTTCCTAACAAGTAGATTTCTAACTTTGTTTTACAAATATTAACAAAACTGATTTCCGATGGGATCTACTTTTGGACTTTATAGTTTCTTTCATGTTATTCATTCTTAGGCTTTCCTTAAAATGAATACACCTTATTGCAAATATATATATAGACACACGCAGAAACCTTTTCAATTTTTTTTTTTTTGGTCACTCAACAAGAAGCCTTAGCTTGAATACATGAATATATCATGTGGCAAAATTAACAAAAAATAAATAAAGAAACAAACAGATAAAACACACATAAACACAAAAATAACAACTTTTTTTTATTGGTTCACGTCGATCAAAACGGTACCAGATTTCAAAATGAATAGATACTCTCCCATAATCAATTCCATTGAAATGCATTTTTGACACCACCAAATGCTTACTATTTTCCTAAATATGACAATTAATAATGAAACAAACCATTACTACATAAAAATTAAGAACAACAAAACAGGGGACCAAAACATGATGAAACAAATTTTTTAAAAGAAAGGAAAAAACAGTATCAAAATTTTCAATTATTGATTCTGATTTCTTATTCTACATGTGTAACAGAGGAGATTTCTCAAAGCCAAATCCAACGATCCTTGATTCAATCTGGTTTTCTGTGAAATTTGACATGATACAATGTTTCACCATATAATTCCACAGCCATGAACGTAAGAGCGAGCAGAGGGTGGAACATACCATATAATTCTGGGGATGCTACCTCGGAACATTCCCCAAGTCGTGCCATTGTACCTTAAATCACAATCACATGTGCTTTGTCTTTTCAACCAAAAACAGAAGCCGTTGAGTAAATGTATACAATAGAACCTCGGATTCAGAAGCCAACAAAATCAAAGAAAAAATTCCAACTTAATTTACAAGAATACTTATGAGGGAACAAGTCATTTTCAAGAATATTCTGATGCAGTTCTTTTTTTTGGCTCTCAAAACTGAACCCAATCAAATCAATTGGATCAACCCATCAAAATTCTTACAACTCAACCATCTCCTTCAACAGCTAAAAATAATGAAATCTTAGTGCAGTCATCTATACTTCATCTACGCAATATATGGTTAACGGATTATAATTATATGGAACAGATTAATAAATTAATAAGTAATTATCAGGTGATTTTTTTTATAACCACTAGTTTTAGTATATAAGTGAAGATGATTCATGTAAATATTCCTAAACAGAGTGAATGACAGGCAGCCATGCACATCTTCCTTCATAAATGGAAAAAGAAACTTTCAAAAGTAAGGTACAAATTAGATGACACGATCAATCAATTCAACAACACAGAGTACAACTTCTATAAATAAAGCATAGAACTCCTTAAATTCACAAGCAATACAAACAACTCCACAATTCCTCCTTCAAACATCCCTAAAGCATCCACATTCGCCCTTCTTGGGCACCCATAAATCATATAACTCAACCAACTCCATGACATAGATACCGTATATAAAACTTTCAGAAAGTTATTTACCTTGGTGGATGAAGCTCTGAGATTTTGATTGCAAGTGCAAGCTTCATTGCCAATCTATGACAAGTAAACAATTCTCTCGTTAACACTATAATCACAAACCAATAAACATTAAATCTTAACAATAAACTCTAAATATAACATACTAATTATAACAAAAAAGCAACAATAACTATAGTCTCACCTTTTTATGGACTTGGCTTATTTGGAAAAGCATGATAACAAATGATCTCAAAAATGCTGTCTATCTTCAACTTGGTTAGGGTTGGATGGACCCTGCAGGTACAACAAAAATATGTATGAAGCAATCCTTGAGTGTTGGTGATTTCCGTGGAAAGGGTTATCCAGGCCAATTAATAATACATCATATTAGAGGAATATATAGAAGCTTGAAAAATATACTTTACTTTATTAGATCTACCATGAAAAACAGAATTTATAGAGCCATTTTTAGGTTACTAATCATTAAGAAATTCAAAGGATTCTTAATCTCAAAATTTAGAAAACTTAAGACACAATAGTTGCAATTAGGTTTGACAGTTATCAAACTTGAGAAATTAGAATTGCATCAGTGTTCGGTCCAATAAATGTACAAAAATTACGATAATTTAATATAGCTAAACAAGCCGGAAGAACAACTCAAAACTTCCATTCAGTTTCATTACACAGTTTTTATGATGACATAAAGCTAGCTAGATTACTGAACTATTCTTTGAATGACTCAATGACCATTACAACAACGCAAAATTTTAATGTCTACAGCAACCAAATGATAAAAGAGCTATTCAATTGAATTCTTATACGATAAAACACGAATATAAATAAATAAATAAGTATATACAAAAATTGTCTTGTGGAATGGATGAAATTATATTTCTCAAAGTCCTTTTCAAATCAAAATTATTAAAAATAAGCATATTTTAACCATGCTGTAAATCAGCCCAACAAAAAAAACCGGCACATGGTTAGTAGCCAAGAGCCGTCTCTAGAACAATTTCTAATGCAAGAAATAAATTTCACTTCTCAAACTCAGTTGAGCACTCATATAGGCAATATTATTTTAGAGTTTGGTAATTTTGAAAAGAGAACAAGACGAAAACTAACAGCCACAGGGACAACAAGAACGGAAAATTTCAGTTTGCAGTGATGCTGAAGAAAATACCTTTAGACGAACAGCTATACCATCCTAGATTGCCAAAAAAATTCACATCTTCTACAAAAGGATTGGAATCGTTGAATATATAAGAAATTTACTGGGGTTACGCATTCTCCAAAATGACTTCAATATCACGAAATGGCAGCCTGCTCCTCGCATATATTGTCAACTTCTGTGTATTACACCAATTTCATTTATTAGACAATAAGGCACATGCGAAGGAGAAAATCATGTTCAAATGGACAGTGAGATGTGACATAGCAATTTCATTTATTAGACAAAATGGTGTGAGTCACAGGGGGATATGAGTTTCATGTCCACAAGCAGCCAGCTGTTAGCCCAAATGACCATTGAAACATGACCTCTGTGTAACCGGAAAAGTGATTCATATTCCCGAATTAAGTATCATATAAGAAGATACGAGATAAGATTATTCATAAACAAGAGCATTTCATTACCCATTAAGTTCATACAATATACATCTAGCCATTTTTGTCATATATATGCATAAAATGGAGAAAGAATTTGATTTTGTATTATGTCTAGTCAAATATGATGTAAATGTGTACAAAAATAAAACAAAAAAAATGATCAAACATCTCCTATCAAATTTAGTCAAATCAACCTGAACATCTGATGGCATCTGAGAAACACATTGATACATACTCAATGTTAGTCAAGTCATTCATCAACTAACATGAACATCTGATGGCATCTTAATTATAAAATCAACCTGTTCATAGATAATAGAATCGCATCTATGCGAGGTCCAATAAATCTACAAAATAATTAGGTGAAATTAAAAGAAAGTCGAGTGACCATGTCATTAAAATACGGCTTCTAGTTTTTCATCACCAAATGCTGAGAAAAATGAGTTTGTTCAGTTTGCTTTGCATTTATGGCCAGCTTTTAGTGACTGAAGATTTGCAAATTTTAATATTTCCTCTTTCTTTAAATGAGATCTCCACCTAGAGCCTGGAGGTTAGGCCATTGCTCACTGTGGTAGTTGATAAAAAAGAAGATTTACATAAACAAAACTTCGATTTAACATTGAACAATCAAGGAAAACTTGGATTGTTTGGCTAATCAAATAGATCACTATGGGTTTTTAATGTTTGTAGCAACATTGAGATCACTACAAGTTTTTAATGTTTGTAGCAACATTGAACTGTTCTGGATGATTTATTTTATCGAATATTTTTTGGGTACAGAATCATTAAAATATTAAGCATGCTATAATTCAATCCATTGGGTCAATAGCCCATTATTAACCCATTTATGATGGGTGATTAAAGGATTGGGTCACTTGGGTGTTAAATGGGCTACTTAACACACACCCAACCCAATTGTCCAAATATTTTTAAATACAAATTGTCAAATTATTTTAATTGTTAAATATAAAAAAAATTTATTTTTATATTAAATTTATTAATTTTTTGTTCCTTTTTTTTTAAAAAAAAATGTTATTATACAACTTACTTTGATGGTTATCACGGCCCAAAAACAAAGAAAGATGGGAGAGAAAATGGAAGAGAGAGAAATGGAGAGAAGAGATAAAAGAAAAGGGAGGAGAGATAAAAAATAATAAATAAATAAATAAAAAGAAGAAGAAGAAGAATTACAGTAATATTAATAATATTAGAATACATACACTTCTAGTAATATTATTGAATAACAAAAAAAATAAAATAAAATTATTTTTACATTAATTTTTTTATTTCAAAAGTTACAAAAAAAAAAAATTTCCGTGGGTTAAGATGGGTACCACTCTTAATCCACCATTTACCTTTATATTGAATGGATACTCACTTCTTACTCATTATTAACCTACTCACTTAAATTTTAATTTTAATTATAATTATCCAAATTATTTAATTTTAATAAAAGAATTTAGACGATTTAATGAATTTAGGCTTAAATTGCCACCCTTACTAAATAGTCCGTCTTCAAGTAAGAAAATTTCCCAGTACAATGAAGAAATAAATTCGACCTCAAATTATCCAAATGATAATTTTAGAAGAGAATATGTAGAATAGAAAACCCGTGTCAACGGGAAAGTAGTAGAACGTGGCTCAGTTGGATGCATGTGTTATGTATGTGGTGATGAGCATATACATATATATATACATATATAAAAAGAAGAGCCTTTGGAAAGCAAAAAGAAAAACCTTTCGACGCAGGGAATGTGGGCAATGTTGAGCCAGTAGTCACCTTGGTCCTCCAAGCACCGTTCTTCAAGAAGTGGACATCGGATTAGTTGAAGACTTTGAAGCGTGGAAGGCAGGCCTTCCTTGGGCAAGGATCGAAGCTTAGGGCAATTATTGATCTCTAGATGTCGAAGAGAGGTGAGATTTTGGAGGGAACCGCCACTGCCTTTGGATGATGATGATGATATAGATTCCAGATTTGGAAGATCTTGGATGCATAATGTGGTTAGAGTTGCAGGAAGTGGACAGGACTTGTCATCTTCTTCTTCGGGAAATGGAAAGGAGACCAGCTCCGGATATCCACCTTCAATTCTGAATACCCGAAGAGAGGTGAGTCTGTGCAGACCCCACTCTGCCAATGGCTTCAGTACTTGCCCGCGAGTACGTATAGTAAGCTCAATTAGGTTGGGGGCCAAATTCAAATTCCCTTGAGGAAAGGACTCAAGACATCGACAACCATCTATTTTTATGGATTCGAGACTTTGAAGATTCTGATCAAAAAATGGCAACCACCTCAGATTTGAACAATTTATGATATAAAGCCGTCTGAGGTTCGGGGTGGACAAGCAGACTCCACTTTCTGGAATAGATTCAAGACATGGACAACCTTCTATGCCGATGGATTCGAGGCTTTGAAGATTCTGATCAAAAAATGGCAAGCACCTCAGATTTGAACAATCTTTGATACCAAGCCATCTGAGGTTGGGGGTGGACAAGCGGCCTCCTCTTTCCGGCATAGACTCAAGACAAGGACAATTCCAGATAAAAAGGTCTTCGAGGCTTTGAAGAATGTTGTTGGTCGTAGCAGCCAAGGATCGGAGATTCACGCAACCGTCTATATCAAGATATTTGAGGTTGGGTAAGGCTCTTTCTGGAAACGACAAGGACTCCACGACATCGCAATTATATATCTCAAGTTCAAGGAGACTAGCGAAATTATTGTTTTTATTCTTAACGCACCCCCCAACATCAAGTAGTAGCATTCCAACCTTCGCCCAATTGTAGATGCTTAACTCTTCAATTGATGATGACATATTAATATTAATGTTGTTATAGTAGTCCTCCTCCTGCTGCTGCTGCACCATCGTGGTCTCCGAAACCTTCCCGAAGTAATCCAAATTCATGCATTCACGAATATGAAGCCTCTTAAGGGCAGTGGGTAATGTGATGGTGGGCCAGGACGTCAATGATGAACATCCTTCAATTTCCAACTTTTCAAGACCAGAGATGCCATCAGGGAGGGACTTCAACGCATTGCACTTCTCTATCCGAAGTTCTTTAAGTATGGGCGGGACACCAGCCTTTGGAAAGCACACAAGTTTTGAACACCCCTTAATCTTCAAGGATGTGAGAGACGACAGCTTATTCAAATCATTTGGCAACTTCTCAAGATTCACGCAATCTTCTATATCCAATTCCTCAAGATTAATGCAAGGCAGCTCTTCATCATCTAATTCTTCTCCAAGGGAAACAAGTTGGGGGCATGATGAAATACTCAGTCTCTGTAGACGGACAAGATTATTTCTGTGTGTAACCCTCCCGCCGTTTTTCCATAAAGCCATCAGTTGGTTGCATTCTCTGAACACAAGACTTTCAAGTGCTACCAATGACTGCAATAATGCTTCATCGAGCCGAGATAGCCCTATAATATTCTTAGCTGTCAAGCTGATTAGTGAGGTCAAATCAACTATACCTTTTAGCGCCAACTCATGACATTGTTCCAATTCTAATTTTTGAAGTGATGGAAGCCTCAAAAGTGACACCTGAATCAAATTGGGACAACCACATATGGTGAGCTCACGGAGGCAAGGGAACTGTCTTGCACCTTCTTCAACGCCAATAGAACATGACCATTCTTTCCATGATGGCATGTCCTCAAATATCAGTCTCTCGAGTGATGGAAAAGGATGTCCGAAGTCAACCCCCAAAGTTTGTACTTCATGCATACCTTCAATGCGTAGCTCTTTGAGCATGGGTAGTTGCCCGAGTGGTGGTAAAGATCTGCATTTTCTACACCCTAAAAGAGTCAACTTCATCATTTCAGAGAATGATGAATGACCTATCCAACTTGGAAAATTTATGCCCCTGTAGAACTTAATTGTGAGTCCTTTTATGTTTTTGTGGGGTTGTAGCTTGTCGAGCACGTCCAATACAAGGTTTTCTTTTTGAACATCATTGAACTCACTATCCCATGCCAACTCTAGTTCTTCAATGTATTGCTTAGCCTTTAAATTCGCCTCATTTGCATCTTGAACGTCCATTACATTTTGCAACTTTGTAATAGAAATACTTCTCCGCAAGAGCCTCAAATTCCTCAATTCCTTTAATCCTGGCTCATTATTTTCGCCCACAACGAACTTTGACAGTGTTTGCAGATTGGTCAATTTACCGATCCCTGAGGATATCTCTTGTAATTGTGGAGTATTAGTAATGTCAAGATGATGTAGGTTAATTAAATTCCCAATGTTTGGGGGCAGCATACAAAGATCACGACAACCACGCAGTAACAACGTTTGCAAATTGTAGAGGGTACTCACTGATTCAGGTAATTGTCTAATTAAAGTCCAAGATAAATTAAGATATCTTAGATGTTTCAAATCACCAATCGAGTTTGGTAACTTCGTTATGGCATAATTAGACAAATATAACACCCTTAGGCATTGTAACTTTGTGAGTAAATCAAGCAGAACCTTGTTTGCTAAGTAGCATTGTCTATACTGGCCCGACAACGGTAGAAAAGTTCTCAAATGTTGCGCTTTGCAAAGAGGCCTGAAATTCTGAAGGACTTCATATAGTTGACGAATATATGACAAGTGCCGAGCTCTTTTAGGAATTTCAAATTGCATATCACCCTCCACCTTTTCCAGCCGAAAGCATATATCCCCAACAACGTGTAGAGCTAGATCGTTTAAAAGGTCATGCATCACAAACCGTGATTTCCTGCCACCTGATTGTTGAAAAAATGACCTTGATAATAGATCATCAAAACATTCATCACCAAAATCTTCCATGCACTTCTTTTCTTTTGATAGCTGCAAAAGACCTACCCCCATCCACAACAGAACTAGCTCATCCTTGTCAAATTCGTAGTCTTTTGGAAATATTGCACAGTAAGCAAAACACTGCTTCAAATGAGATGGGAGATGATGATAGCTCAATCTAAGAGCGGGAAGAATACCACTTTTTTGTTCAGGTAAATCCCATATCTTGCTGTTCAATATATTCTCCCAGTCTCTTTGTAGTGGTTTGTTGCGCAAGAGGCCTCCTAGTGTTTTTGCTGCCAAAGGCAAGCCTTTGCATTTCAACACTATTTGCTCACCAACACCTTTCAAACGCGGATGTGCATCAAAGTTTGCTCTCCCCAGTGCATGATAAGCAAATAAAGATAAACAGTCATCTTTCGACAGCCCATTTAGAGAGTAAGTTGGAGACAGACTCATAGTTGATGCAACGGCTCCATGGCGAGTTGTGATAATAATTTTGCTTCCAGGTGCCCCAAACATAAAAGGCCGTTGCAGGAGCTCCCAGTCTTCATACTTCTCGTTCCAAACATCATCCAAAACAAGAAGAAATTTCTTCCCCAACAGGTTCTCCTTTAGTGTACATTGAAGTGAATCTAGATCCTCAAAGTTACGAGTTTGTGAAGTGACCTGAGTTAGTAGCGTCTTAGTCACTCTAACCACATCAAAATCATCGGAAACACAAACCCATGCCTTGGGATGAAAACGACCCTCTATAAGTTTGTCGTCGTAGACCAACTGCGCGAGAGTCGTCTTACCAATTCCTCCCATGCCCACAATGGGAATGACAGAAACATGAGCTTCATCCCTCAACAACAACTCGATGATAGCCATTTTATCTCCTTCTCTGCCATAAACATCAGATATTTTGACCAAAGAAGTCGTTTCCCATCTTTCTCTAACTTTGTTGGACTTAATCCCTCCAACATTCTCTTTCAAATCCAGACTATTCTTTCGGTCTTCAATATCTTCTAATCTGGTGGTGATTTCCTCTACTTTGGACATCATATTGTGATCAAGCTTAACAGAACTAGGAGGAGTACTACTACTAGTGAAGGTAGTGCAACAAGTTGGGATGAGTAGCTTTCTTACCTTACTAGTACTGCTAGTACTGCTGCTAGCTTGAGATTCCGGCATGATCAGCTCGAGTCGCAAAGCTTCGGTATGTAAGTCGTCCAGCAAATCATCCAAATCGTAAGCTAAGTCGCTGAGATCCTCCATCCACGATTTGACTCGATCGTTTGTGGTTTGCTTCTCCTCAGCGTCGGCGAGAACAGAACGAATATCTGGCAACATTTTCTCCAACTTCTTCAGCTGACGATCAATTCCCTGGCGACGGGCGTGGTTTGCCACCGTGCGAGAGACCAGCTTGTCAAGCAGCACCTCAATTATCGGCCCCAGTAAAATCCCGGCAACCTCCATGGATCGATCGATTGTGAAATCAAAGCAAGAACTGAAGGAAGAAGAAGATGGGTAAGTTCGTGAATTACTGAGCAATATGATGATCAATTTGGGTTCTGCTACTATTCAAAGTCAAACCAAGAGCAGAGCACAAGTGGGTTGATTAGAATATTCAAAAATTTTGGAGATATTGAAAAGTGTCGGCCACAATACAGGAAAGTAGGAGAAAATAATTCAGAGCACATGAAAAAAGTATAGGTGATTGAAAAGCAGACAAGTAAAGCATCAATCATTCACCGACACCACCAATATCAATATTTGATCTCCATCGCTCATTTTTAGAGAGTACTTTTGCTCTGCTGTCATATTTTGATAGCATATTATCTTGATCGTAATTGAGCTCCACAAATGTCTCTCTTGCGCTCCATTCTTATGTCAATAAAATCAAATGCCAAAACAGCCCCATACCCTCCTTATATATTTTTTTTTTTTTTTTAAATGATGACTCAAAAGAATAAGGTTAAGAGTCACGGTTTTTCAAAAGACAAAACCCTTTTTTGGATCCAGGAAGTACAATTTTTCCTTTCATAATTTTCTTCTTATTATCTCTCTTTGTTCTCCTTTCCCTTCTTTTCTCCATGGCCAACTGTACACTACTTTCCTCTCCTTCAAACTTCACAGCTTGATTGCAATAGTTTTTCATTTGGATAAAAAAAAGAAAAGAGTTTTACATATCCAATAATAAATAAATAAAAATAAAGAAAGAAAAAGAAGGTAGAGTTTTAATTATATTTGTAGATTCCATGTGTTGAGTTGGAATACTTTTATACTGTATATCTTAATCATATAAAAAAATAAAAAATAAATAAAAATGAAACAACCAAAACTTGTGTCTAATTTTTTAATTGATTTAGACTAATACGATAATTGTGCATAAAATAAAATAAAAATAAAAATAAGTAGGAAGATAAGGAGTTAAATTAATTTTATTTGGGAGAGATTGGATTCAGTGGCTGGTTATTATTGATCAGAGAGGAAAAATCAAAGAGAAGACTGGAGGGATTGTGGTCTGTTTGAGAAAGGGGCGCAAGGTCCTTTTCGTCAGTTTATGTAATAAGAATAAGGAGTGTAGATAGTACAATTTGTGGAGCTCCAATAACACCTTCTTTAGAAAATTTATTACATGATTTGGGACACAACAATAAATTTGCCATAATGGTGTAAGTTTTAATTAGCCTTTTGTTAAAATGAATTATTGATCCGCACAATTAACAATCTCGAAATCATATACTAATTTTTCCTAAACTAAGATCATAGAAAGACATTTTCTTTATATAATATTTTTTTACCAAATAACCCAAATAACTCAATTATCTGTAAAAATTCTCAAACAATGCAAATTTAAATAATTGTTCATTAAAAAGTAGCTTGTTGTATGAGAATTGTAATATTTTTATTCTATTTCAAAATTAATCTCTTGAAAAGTTACAATTTAAAAATAAAGTCTATTATTGTAACTTGTGATCGGGCAAAAAAGACATATACTTTAAACATTTAATATTATATACTTGTAACGTCCTAAATTTCATTATCAAGTGCGTTAACCAAAAATGTCTAACCCGATTATAAAAGCCAAAACCCACATTAGCCCACGTGTCTAATGTGATCATGAATGATTAGTCAAATAAAGTCCATTAATATTATATGAACATTAAACAAGGTTCTAAGACTTGGAGAAATGGTTGTTTCAAAACGACATTCTCCAATTAAGAGATATCACAAAATTGTCTCATAGAAACAAACATAACTCTCATTGTAGTAGGAGTTTTTAAATGAGGTTGGTATCAATGAAAAGCTAACTTCAAGACGTTCAAAATGGACTTAAGAATGACCTAATTTAGATTAGAAATAAATGAGATATGGCTGTCAGAAGTCGACAAATCAAAGTTGTCCTTAAAAACTGAAAATGGAAGGCTTTAGGGAGGATCAGCCAGCTGAAACTGCACTTTCAGTGGGCTGAAACATGCCTCTTAGCTGGTGCACTCTTTGTCCAAGCCAAAAATAGTATGTCGATCTGCTGACTTATATCACCAATCGACCAAAACTTCCTGGGAGCTGAAAAAAAGGTCCTCTCGAGGTACCATGACCATGGATTCTACCTATATTAAATATATGAGTACCAATGATGTTCAAATTGTCAAAAATGCAAGAAAAACCAATTCATGGCAACAAGATCATGACAATAACAATTGTGAGGCAAACCATGTATGCATTGAACATAAAAGTATGCATTAAAAGAAGGGAATTCATTCATTAGCATTAAAATGACATTTTGGCCTCATTACAACATTTATCCATGTTTTACAAAAGAGAAGAGAAGAAGAGGAAATCACTCAAGGACGAGTTCCCACACCATTTTCTTTCTCAAAATTCACAAATCCATATTATTACATTTCCAAGATTAATACAAAAAGAACATACTTAACACATAACATGTAAATGTCATCCAAAATAGATCAAAAAAGTAAGCTAAGTAAATCTAAGCTAAGATGGAGGTGCGTCCAAATAGAGCACGTCCTTACCTAAAAAATATTAAATCAACGAGGGTGAGTAATTTAAGTTACTTCGTAGGAAAATACATTAAACTAGATTTTTTTGGCCTCGCAAATATAGCACCTGCTATACAAGCATGGAACATGCCACCTAAACGTCTAATTCAATGAAAATTCTAAGAGACATCCAAGAACTAACAATTGAATAAATAATCATATGATCATTTCAATTATATACACAATGCAAGATATATATACATTAAATCTGAAAAGAGCCAAGTTACAACTACACATGGATGTCAACTTGAAAATCAAATACAAAATTACATAACTTGGACGCACAACACCCCCCCCCCCCCCCCCTATATACATTAAATCCAAAAAGAGCCAAGTTACAACTACACATGGATGTCAACTTGAAAATCAAATACAAAATCACATAACTTATGCGCACTACATGCACCAGAAAAATAACTATTTTTAGGCTACTAACCCGCAGGGAACTACCTAAGTGACCACTATAAATTGGGGAGCCCAAGCTCACCCGCGAGCGCCAAACTCTCGGATTCTCAAAGTAACAAAGGTCACAAGTGTCTCCCAAAAATTATTAATAATCCCACAACGTATTTTATACATTTAAATAAAGTAATGCACTCCACAAGTGCACCTGTAGGGACCAGTCCTTTTTCGAATTTTTTTTTTCTTTTATTTTTATGACATTGGGATATGTGTACAGGGTTCTCGGGATTCTTTTTAGCCTTTCTTCAAGTTCTAGACTCTTAGAAATGTATTCTGGACCACTTCCTTCATTTTTGGATTTTTGACCCAAGAGTTCACCACGTGGGTTCGGACCGGATTTTTCAGCTCGGGATTATTTTTCGACGCCGTTAATTTTGTTATTCGTTATTTTTTATACCGATATTTTTACTTTCACGTGTTTTGTCCGTTTGAGCGCATTTTGACGACTTTTGTTTTTTGGGGTCTTATTGAGGCCCGTTGTTGACTTTTCTTGACATAGTATAAAAGTGAGGAATGAAAGAGACCAGCTTGTCAAGCAACACCTCAAATATCGGCCCAGAAAAATCCAGATCGTTTGTGATATCAAAGCAAGAAATGAAGGAAGAAAGAGATGGGTAAGTTTGTAAATTATTGAGTAATATGATGGTCGAATTGGTTTCTGCAACTACTCAAATTCAAACCAAGCACAAACAGGGTCGGCTCGAGCCTTAGGCGATTTAGGTGATTGCCTAAGGCCAAGCCATAAGAAAGCCCCAAAATTTTAAAATTTTCTTATATTAAGTTATTCTATAATTATTTCCTAATATTGTTAAACTCTAATAAATAAATAAATAATTATATTAGGTCTCAAAGATTTATATCCTAAAGTAGCTCCCTTTTTTTTTCTTTTTTTTTTTCCCATTAGTTTCAATTTTATATTAGATTTCATAAATTATATCCTAAAATAACTTCTTCTTCTTTTTCTCTTTTCTCTCTCTCCTCGTTTCATTCCGATTTTATATTAGGTCTCAAATATTTATATTCTAAAATGACTTGTAACAACCCGAGCCTGAGGGTCCGAATCGCTAACCGGTCCTTATCCGAACCCGAGATCAACTAAGGACACTACCGTCCTTTCCTACGTCAATATATAATATACGTGTCATCCCAGAATTTAAAAAAAAATAGCAATAGCAATAATAATAAAATGAGATCATAGCTACGAAATATATTAAAACAATCCACTAACCCATCAAACCCTGTGGAGAAGTGTCGTCCGCCACTTCCCTTCCGTGTCCTGAAAAATGTTAATAATAAAGGGGTGAACATAAACTCAGTAGAAAGTGTCTAAGATACACTTCTTAGACCATGTGAATCCATATATAGAATAGAAAACAAGAGAACGGGATCATACTAACTATATTTGGGATGTATACCATAACCACAACATCCAATATAAACACATATGCCATCCAAGTCACAAACACGCCATGTATGCCAATGAAGTGCAATGTCATGCTCATGTCGCTTCCCATTTCGGAAACATTTCCGTTTCAACATCCAAACCGTTAGTGTTATCCAACCCAAGGCACGTCCAAGGCATCACGAGGGAGGGGTTAGCTACTTTTTCCCAGACCACATGGCGTCGTTTGGGTAGCTCAAACACACTAGAGTCTTTCTCTAACTCCCTTTAGATCATACTAACACCACGGACCACTAGGCGCCTCCTAGGCATCCAGATTTTCGCAAACGTTTTTAGAAAACATTTTCCTAAAATTTAATTTCCTTTGTTTTGAAAACAGTTTTCCCATTTCTCTTCCCAATGGATGCAAAAATGCTCCATGTTTCAAATCATCAATTCAACAATAAAATTCTACATGATCTTCTACATCATCATTATTTTATTATTTCTTTTTTTATATATAGAAAATTCCAAATAATTATTTTATAACCACAACATCAATTTTCATAGCAATTTAGAAATTCACAAGTCACACAGTATACCAAAATTAAGCTTGCTTCTTCACAATAATGTAAATAGCCATGTATATAACCCAATTAGCATGTAAAACACATTTGTCAATTTGAGCACATACAACCACAATAGTAATGGACAAGATAATAAAAATTAAGCATGCTTAAGGTCAAATTAAAGAGGAAAATTCACAAAAATTCAAGAAGTCATGGATTAGAACACCCCTACCTCAAATTATAGAAAAACTCTCAAAATGGGTCTCAAAACTAGAAATCCTAGGGTAGGCCAAAATTGAAATTGCTTGCACTTACACGTAGATCTCGCCGTGTTCTCCGTTTTGCCGCAAACAGCTCCCAAAAACTCTAAGAAATGAGAGATTAATCAAGAGTTAAAGTTTGTATAGAAAAGAAAAAGAAAATTGGGAGAAGAATGAGAGAGAAAGAGAGAGCAAGAGCAAACTGACGTGAGGAAAAGAAAGAGAGGAAAATGAAGTCTGTAAAGTGACATTTGGTCATTTTGATGACTAAAGGTGCATGTGGGTCCTACCACTTTTAATTAACTTTTTCTTTTATTTTCCTTTTAATTTTTTTTCACCACAAAATTATATACATACATACAATCATATAAAATCACATAAACACATTAAATAAAATATATGAGATGTAGATGGACCCAACTAAAATTCTCGTATACAACAATTCCTAGAGCGGGTCTCACACGGGATCGTTCGGCTCGAAAAACGGAAAAATGCAAAAATGACAACCTTTGCATTTTAAAGAGTCATGACTCAATAAAATGCTCCAAATAACTCTTTGATACATCCGGCACACCCCACGATATCCGGCGCGCAACACATGAAAAGAAGAAAATGCCCTTGCGAAAACATTAAATTCCAAAAAAAAAAAAAAAGAATGGCAAAAATCGAAAATATTACATAACTTCGTCTTTTTTCTCTTTTCTCTCACCTCCTTCATTCCATTGAACTCTAATTGATACATAAATTTAATATTGGCCACCCACAAAGATTTATATCCTCATACAACTTTTTTTCCCTTCTTTGTTCTACTCTCATTCACGTTTTACAATAAATCCTAACTAATATAGACATTTAATATTGGACCCAAAGAATTGTATCATTAAATAATTTTTTTCCTCTCTTTCTTTCCCTCTCATTTAGGTTAAAAAATATTTTTGGATAAGTTACACCAACACTAAAATATTAAATATCTATTTAATATTGTTATATGGGAAAATGGCGAAAACTTTTAATATTCTTTTTTTTTTTTAATGTGTCATATTCTTCTTTTAAGCAAGTCTTCTCCTCCCTATCTCATTACAAGTTTACAGTTGTTATGAATGCATTTTTATTTTATTAAAAAATTTGTAAAAGTATTAGATTTGGGTTTTCTAAGTGAGGTTCAATGGTGGTTTATCTTTAATTGTATTTTTATTTTATTCACTTTTGTTATTATAAATTTGTGTGCATATATATTTGTATATTTTGTTTTTTTAAGTTGAAAATAATTTTATTTATATTATTAAAAAAGTTATTTTTTATTTTTTACCTAACACCTGAAATTAGATTGGGCCGCCCACAGTGGGTTGATTAGAATATTCAAAAGTCTTTTGCTAAAGACAGAGACGTTGAAAAGTGTCGGCCACAAAGCAGGAAAGTAGGAGAAAATAATTGAGAGCACATGGAAAAAGTAAAGTATTAATCCGTTCACTGAATCACTGACACGACCAATATCAATATCAATATTTGATCTCCATCACTTATTTTCTTACTGTATACTGAAACTTAATTATTTTCTTACTATATACTGAAACTTAATTTGAGACGGAAGGAAGGAGTATACGGTTTTTTTTTTTTTTTTTTTGAACACTTAGAAAAGTTATAATTATAAAAAATCTATTGTTGCAATTTGTAACTAAAAAAAAAACATATACTTCAGACATTTAATATCATATACTTACCTATTCACTGGTGTTTAAGTGATTCTTTTTATTGTGAATGTGATCTAAATATAAATATATATGAAGTCTATAATTATAGAATTAATAAAATAATATATAAAAAAAAGTAAATTTTTTAGATAAATTCAGCCACCCTTCTTATTACTTTTTTTATTATTTTCCTAATTTATAATTAATTGTAAGTCTCTGCCTCAGAAATATTGTTGTCCTTTGTCCCATATTTAAGGCCACATATTGTCCAACATTTCACCTCAGTAGGCCCATCACATCTATATCCACATTAAAATTGAATATCATTATTTGAGGTGGTAATGCCAGATTATTTATTAGTTAATGATAAACAGTATATATGTAGGGTGGTAAATAATATCATTTTCCATATCATTAACAACACAAAAATATTGTAATGACTAATTTTATTTGTTACCATGTAATTGATCTCTTGCTTACTCATGAACAGATATTTATATACATAATGCATGGATGATTGTTGAATGGGGTTACTTTGATCTCTTACTGACCAATGGGCAAGAGATCATTACCTTCATTAAACAGAATATTTGTATGTGATAAATTGATTTTATTAGTTACATTAAACAGTATATATTTCTATTGATTGAGACAATCATAAAATTTTAATTAATTTATAATTTCAATATTAAAGTCACTTGAGTTAGAAAATATCATTATTCAAACATCAAAAAGAATATATTATATTATATATAATATTATTATTTTATCTTGTCATTATAATTTTGTTTTTGTTATTTAGAAATTAAACCACTTTAATTTATGTTCATAATATTAATTTTAGTGTAGGAAGTGTTGAGAGTGTCACCAACTATCGAAGATGTGTAGGCCAAGTGTGTGTTTGAAATTATAAAATTTATTTTTAAATAATGGATATGGCTATAAAATGTTGACTATGTGTTTAGGAGCGCTCATAAAAAGTCAGTGTCGGACACGATGCGGAACACAAATCCAGCACTTCGTAGACTTTTTAGGTCAAAGCAAATCAAATACTATATTTTCAGAATTACTCCATACATTTAAAAAAAAAAATCCCAAAACCGAATAATATAAGATATTTAACCCCACACACTCATTATACCTTTTTTTTTAGTTATTGCATGTCTATTTTTAAATAATTGTACAAAGGCCCAACTTTGTGTTTTTACAAGATAAAAACTTTTCAACAAATACAATCATAAACTTATTGAATGAAAATTTATTCAATTAATATCTATATTTTTGTACTATAATTATTTTCGTTTAAAAAATAATTATTTTATTTTCATTTAAGGTCGTCACCACTAAAATTATCTCATATAAGAGCCTTTCGTCTTCTATGTTAGGAAGTTAAAAAGATATCCTTGATTTTTGAGACACATAATTAGATTACATATAATTGTCATTTATAAAATTATTTGGGAGGTTGAAACACCTTTTTATTTTCAGTAAATTAAAAAAAAAAAATGGGTAAATTACAGTGACACCTTCCAAATTTGCCTATAAGACAGGTAGATATAACTTAAGCCATTTTTGAACAATGACACCCCTAGGTTTGCAAACTTGAACAATGACACACCATTCTATAAAAAAGAGTCAACACAACCTTAATTGATATGAAATGTTTAATATGACCTAAGATATATTTTAATTCTCTCAAAAAATAACCAAACTACCCTCTCCTTATCATTCTCTTTTCAATCTTATTTTTACCGAACACAGATTCTCGTCCCTCTCTTTTAACCCTCTCATCTCAGTGGTGGAGGCGAAAGTTGTGGGTGAACTAGCGGTGGGCGGGCGGTGGCGGCAAAAGTCGTGGGTGAAGATACAGTGATTGGAATAAATAAATAAATTATAAACATTATTTTTTTCATTGAAATTTCCAAACATATACCAGAATGGTGATTCTAAATTCTTCATTAAAGTTTATTAAAATGGAAGAATGATGATTGGAATGAGGTGACTAATAGTAAGATCATAACAGTTAGATCTAAGCCTAGGAATGATAAAGCCAAAAGAGATAAATGCCCAAAACATATAGTTAATAAAGATTGCTGTTGACAACAAAATATATAGCAAGGAAGTAATAAAAATAAAAAAATAAAAAAAAGACGGCAGATGTTGCTTAAACTACAATGGAGAATTGAGCAGCTAAGCCTAGCCATGACTTGGTTTCAGCAGGCTTGGAAGGAGGAGCAACAGACGAATTGCTTGTCTGGTATGACGTTGGAGTCGTAATACTGTAAAAAAGCCAACACAAAAATATCAAGATCAATTTATGATCAATTTCGCCGCCGCCGCCACCCAATCATTGCATCTTCACCCACAACCTTTGCCGCCGCCACCACCCGACCACCGCACCTTCACCCACAACCTTCGCCGCCGCCACTGAGATGAGAGGGTTGAAAGAGAGAGATGAAAATCTGTGTTTGGCAAAAATAAGATTGAAAAGAGAAAGATAAGGAGAAGGTAGTTTGGTCATTTTATGAGAGAATTAAAATATATCTTAGATATATTTTCATATTTCATGTCAATCAAGGCTGTGTTTGTACTTTTTTATAAAATGGGGTGGGTCATTGTTCAAGTTTACAAACCTGGTAGTGTCATTGTCCAAAAATGGCCCAAGTTATATTTACCTGTCTTTTAGGCAAACCTGGGGGTGTCACTGCAATTTACCCAAAAAAAAAAAATTCGTAAATGTTGAAAAATATTTTGTCGTAAATCTTTTTCAATAATCTTGGTTACATTTATTGTTACAATTGCTTATTAGTGGTGATAATCATATATTTATTATATAGGTGATTGGGCTTGGAACTAAAAATATGAAAAGTGATAATTACTGCTAAAAAGAATGAAATTTAAGAATATGTAAGATTTGTTTAGCCACAAACTAATTACATTCCTCCAAAATCACATTCATTCATGAAACAATTTAAATAAAATAAAATACTAATTACATCGAATATGCAATAATTTAGAGTGCATATTGAATCAGTGTGCTCATATTGCTTCTCAATGCTTACCCCTCTAGTAACAAGTACCTTCACAAAACTTTCCAAAAAAAAACCGAGTACCTTCACAAAGCTTTCATGACGTAACTTCTAGTTGCGGGACGTGACTATAAGTTGCATTATCCCAAATATTTTAACAGTAGAACATTAATCGAAAACCACATAAGGAATTGAAAGAAGCTATGCACATGTTGTAAGGAGCTCAAAAGAGTCACAAAATCAACCACCTTCTAAGCTTAGAAGGACCAAGCTTCGAGGTAAAAAAGAAAATAAGCATTCACCTAGGGAATACATTTTATATTCGTGCTTCAACTGAAAACTAAAAGTATGGCTTTCAGCAGCCACAATGTTTCATTTTTTCCACCAAAATGAATAAAATTTTCCTAAAAATCACTATTATTGGTACAATAAACCATTATCTGGAAAAAAACATTAATACAGAAAATTACAAACCACAAAACAGGACCAAAACATGATATATTTTTCTAAAACAATATCAAAAAAATCGATTATTGCTTGTCTTCTAATTCTACATGTGTAACAAGGGAGATTTCTCAAAGCCAAATCCAATGATCCCGATACGTTGATTCAATGTAGCTGAGGTTTTCATCAGACAAATACAATTGATTGTGTCCGTCGGATCTGTGAAATTTGATATGATACAGTGTTCCATCACTAAAATGAACTAGATGATTAGCTTGAGTCGTATTCGAACAAAGCCCCAAGTCAAGAAACTACATCCCTTGAAGGTTTATCTCAAGATATATTCTCTTTGCCTTTATGTTTCTGCTCGATCGACCAAAGAAAAGAAGATAAAAATTGTAATTCTGTAGTTCTTTAAGACAACTCTTGCAAGCAAGACTTCTTTTTGTCGGTTGTTGATAAGCTTGCAACTTTCTGGTTATTACCGTCATTTAATGCCTCGTTGAAATGGTCCCTGAGGAACTCCACAGCCATGAACGTAAGAGCAGAGGCTGGAACATACCATATAATTCTGGGGATGCTACCTCGGAACATTCCCCTTGTGCCTTCAGTCGTCCATATCCTATGAAATGCATCCAACCAGCCATTGTACCTTAAGAGTGTACAACTATATTAGATCTACAATCACCCGTGCTTTGTCTTCTCAACCAAAAACAGAAGCCATTTACCAAATGTATATAATAAAACCTCGGCCAATTCTAACAGCCTCAAACTTAAAATTGGCAAAATCTCTAACCAAGCAGGTTAGGACTACTTTGTTCCCGTCCCTTTTGAATGTGTGAAATTTCAATTAATATGGATATATATCACAAGTCTCAGAGCAATCACTTTTACCAAAATAATAGCAAAGGTTAGGTCTGTATCCGGTCTTCACCTTCCAATACTCCACATAGGCAGGACCAGTGCTAGGTAACCATTTTTATGGTTGTTTTAAAAAATTCAGGATGCCAATCAAGTTAACGCAACATCATACCGCTGCAACTCTGGCCAATAATATTCACTTCAAATGCTTATCTCACCAAGATAGGGGAGGGAACAATGTTAAGGTCCCGTGCCTTGAGGAATAGACAGTGGCATTATAAAATGTCTTATGGGGAGTATGATAAAATGTCATTACTTAGTGTTGGTCGAGCCAATACAAGGTTTTAGGAGGGGTAGACCAGGTACAAATCTAATCATTTGGCATTCTAACGCTTGGTAACCCCAGCATTTTAGAGATACATGATATGATGTTTAAGAAATTTAAGTCATACATGATATCGTAATCTCATTAAAAACAGAATTAAACCGATACCTTACAGTTGATCCCTGTACTTGCAATCTTGTCTTGACAACATCCAAGGGAGTGGTGAGATATGCACTAAAACCTGACATATTTCAGAAAGTATAAAGTACTATTCATGTAAGATCACGCAAACATTGGTTTCAAGGAAGACTAATGAGCTAATTTCTTGCCAAATTCAGTTATAAATATTTTAATATCCCTACATAGTAAGCAACGTAGAAAAGACACATACCACCGGCTAATCCTCCCAACAAGAGCCCCTCAAGAGAACTATTAACATGGTAATCTGGGTTAAGCATCCATTTTCGTTTCCCATATTCCATCAAATCTTTTAGGGCCTCGTAAAAGGTGACCTGCAAAGTGTCCGACCCCCAAATAAATGCATAAACAAGAAATTAAAACACAGAAACCCAATTGAGTATTTGAGTTATTACTATTATAAGGACAATGACAACGACAATGACAACGACAATGACGACGACGATGACAACGACAATGATGAAAGCAAGAAATCAGAACATAGAAGCACAACTGATATCTGAGTAAGAACGAGGACAGTGGCAACGACAATGATGACAACGATGACAACGGCAATGATGAAAGCAAGAAATCAGAACATAGAAGCCCAACTGATATCTGAGCAAGAACGATTGCAATTTTGATGATGATGACAACGACAAAGAAAAAGACAATGTAGCTATTAGAATGGAAGCAAAGAAGCCCCAGTTTTACCAATGCCATTGATGAATATTTTTCCCAAATCAGATCTAATGATCAAAAAGGCCAGAACTACGAATCAGCCGGCATCCCAATTTTTTATTAATTCTGGTTTCTACTGCAGCCCAGGAGGCAAATAATATATTAAAAGAACAAAAAGGCAAAGATAAGGCAAGAATTCTCAGACAATTTTGGATTTGAGAACAATGATTGTTTGAAAGATGTGAGACTTCAAATTTTCAAAAAGGACTATTGGTCCAAAACCAAGAATAGCTTAGATTGCAAAAATCACTGTAGCTTGGAAACACGGAAAATGTTGCATGCTCTTCATGTAAGAACACTACAATCAATTCAATGAAAAGACAAGTCAATTGTTGATTATTAGCAAGAAACTGCAAAGCTCATAGTAAATTTACACACCATTAGACCAGCAAATGGCACATCCCTTGCAAGTGTAGACCAGTATCTGCACAAAAAAAAAAAAAAAAAAAAAAAAAAAAAGAGAGAAAATGATGCACATAAGCCAACAAAATCAAAGAAAAAACTACATGAAACAATTTATATGGAAGCAACTTTATGTATAGGCCAAAAAAAAAAAAGTCATAATGAGACCAATTGCAAGAACTCCATGCTTCTAGTTCAACTTTTATAAATGCATATCCAAGGGCATAACGACATTACTTTTCCGCAATAGGATTTCCAGTCTTAAACTTGCTTGTTCAGACGGCACCTATTAGCTAAATAGTGAAATTTTGATGATTTACAAAAATCCATTTATTCATGAATGAGCTGACTGTCCTAGGGAATTGTCTATAATGCAGACAGAAAAGAGAGGAGGAGAGGGAGAGAATGGATGTGTGGTTTACAAAGAGTACTTTTGCTTATCATAGTCCTCTAGATTCAAGACCAAAAAATTCATTCAGAATTGGTCATCAGTGCAGCATGAAGAATATTGAGTCAAATGATTCTTCTTGACAATCTATGGTATTAATGTGTTCAAATAAAGAACACGATAAAAGGAAATTAAGGAATGGGGAGTGATATCAAATATACCCTGTGTATAATCCCTTTAGCCCCTGTTCCTTCCATATCGAAGAACCAGCCTGAAACATTCCTGAATAGTAACCATACATTGGCATGCCAGGTTTCATGCAGGCATTGTCTTTCAGGACAACAGAATTGGTCATCAGTGCAGCATGAAGAATATTGAGTCAAATGATTCTTCTTGACAATCTATGGTATTAATGTGTTCAAATAAAGATCATGATAAAAAGAGATTAAGGATTGGGGAATGATATCAAATATACCCTGCATATAATCCCTTTAGCCCCTGTTCCTTCCATATTGAAGAACCAGCCTGAAACATTCCTGAATAGTAACCATACATTTGCATGCCAGGTTTCATGGAGGCATTGTCTTTCAGGACAACAGAACTCCAATACTTTTTTGTGCCTTGAACCTGCATGCGTTGCTTCATCACTTCACACGGAACATATACAAAAGAGCCAAGTGTATCTCCTCAAATGCATGGAGGAAAAACGATGGGAATTGAGTGCTCTGAGGCATGCCAACACCTGATAATCCAAGATCATTTGTATTGCTAGTTTTGTTACTAAAAGTGCTTGCCTTATTTTTATAAAGACATGATACAACAATGGTACTGATGTAAACATGGTAGTTAACTGGAAAACTTATACATACGATGAATCAGTACGAGTGTTCACTAAGGAGCATTCACTCAGAAGCATGAACAACTTCTATGAATGTGCAGTGAGTGTGCAATACATGTCGGACACTGATACTTTACAAACACTCCAAGACATGTCTTTTTCCTGGCAAATAACTCCTAGACGCATCTTTGAAATCTCATGATCGTGTCAAGAGTTTTACAGTAAATGTCATAATTTCTAACACTATCTGACACATCTTAGACACTTCTAAAGAATGGTTTATGTGGCAGAAACACATACTAAGGTCTACAAGTAGAAATCTCTGACAACCTTCGAAACAAGATTAAGACACCTTAAGAGTCCAATCTTAATTTCTTTTTTCCCCCAAAGAGATAGTATATATAGCAACAAGAGTCAAACATGCAATGAGAACTTCCTAATATGGGAAGATAATATAATTATAATGGCAAAAATATAACAAGACACCAGTAATAAATTAACAATATAGTCATCATTTAAATGCATTAAGAGTGAAGATTAAGGGTTTTAGTAAAATATAACGAAACTAAAGAAAGATGGAAAAGCTACATTGAGAAATTGTTAAACAAAAATCATCAAAGGAGTTTAGACTTAGAAGAATATACTAACATTAGGATAACATTTTTTCATAGGGCCAAAGAGTGCGAGATTAAAAATGTATTAAGGGAGATGAACTCATCAGAGGCTTTAGCTTTAGGACCATATGGCATCCCTATTGAGGTTTGGAAATGTCTAGGTGATGATGGCATGTCTTGGCTAACAAAATGTTTAATAAGACAATAGCAACTAAGAGAATGCCTGATGAGTAGTGCAAAAGTATTTTAATACATATGTATATAAACAAAGAGGATATACAAAATTGTATTAATTATTGTAGTATGAGATTAATGTCATACCATATACCTTTGAGAGAGTGTGATAGAACAACTAAGATGGATAGCAAAAATGTTAGAAAACCAATTTAAATATACCAAAGAGGTCAACTATTGAGGCTATATACTTATTGCATACATAAGAGAGAGAGATCTTCATAAGGTTTTCACTGATTTAGAGAAAGCCTGTGATATGGTACCTAGAGATGTAGTATGAAGGATTTTTGAAGAGAAGGGAGTTACAAAAGGATATATTGACGCAATAAAAGACATGTATGATAGATGTGTAACTATAGTTGGAATGACTGTGGGAGAAATAAATGAATTTCCAATTATTGTAGGCTTACATTAAGACTTATCAAAAAAAAAAAATTGTAGGCTTACATTAAGACTTATCAAAAAACAAAATTGTAGGCTTACATTAAGGGTCAACATTAAACCTATATCTTTTTGCCTTGGTTATGGATGCACTAACAAGACACGTTCATGATGAGATACCATGGTATAAGTTATTTGCTGATGATACTGTTTTAATTGATGAAACTAGAGAAGAATTAAATTTGTTACATCAAACGTTTGGATAAAGCTCTAGAATTAAAAGTGTTTTAAGACAAGTAGAATTAAAAATGAATATATGGAGTACTTTAGTAAATCCAGAAATACAAATAGGAATGTGGTGAAGATTGAGGATCCAAAAGTACAAAAAGTAAACAATATTGTTATTTAGGCTCAATTATTCATAATGAAGGAAAATTTGGAGATGAAGTTTATCACATAATCAAGTCAGGATGGGTTAAATGGAGGAATGCATCTAGTTTATTGTCTGATTGGCGTATCCAGCTAACATTGAAAGTTTAGTTCAATAAAACAGATATTAGACCAGTTGTTCTTTATGGGATAGAATGTTAGGCATCTAAAAAACAACATATACATAAAGTGAGTGTGCCAGAAATGTGAATGTTGAGATGACTGTGCTGCAATATAAGAAAGGATAGAATAAAAAATAAACACTTTTGTGAAATGGTTGAAGTAGGACCAATTGGAGATAAAATGAGAGAATCGATCAAGATTGTTTATACATGTGCAGAGAAGCCACAAAGTGCGCCAGTCAGGAAGAGTAACATTGTAAGGGAAGACCAAAATTAAAATAGGTAAAGTTAGGAAATATATGATAACATGTGATTTAACTGAGGCTATTGTGCAGTAACGATATATATTATATAATAATCTTTATGACATTTTCTTGAGTTCCAACTTACACATTATGGAATTCTTAGTATAAAAATAAATTATTTTTTTTATCAAAGACCTATAGTTATATAATAAATGCATGCACATAGGAATCTATATTTATATATCGCCATGACCACATTGTACTCTTTTGGGATTTGCGTTTGCTGTGTCGACTTAGCTGTTGCTTAACACAGAGAACATAACTACATAAAAGATTATCTATACAGTTCCCATGAAGGAATCAATGAATCGTGACCCAAGATTGGTGAAAAATGGAGACAACAAGAAAGTAGTTGATTTAACAGAAAACAATAGACATCAAGGATGCAACAAAACATATTGGAGACAGAATCACTTTCCAACTCTATGAACCTCTTGTAAGTGTAGCATAAAGAACAATGGGCAGAAGAGTATTAAAAAAGAATCAACTGGCATCTATACCAAGAAGAACGCTAGCATCACACTGATTTAAGTTATAATGACAAGCGTATATACTAGAAATTAAACAAACTACATTCATATTCAAGTGTGACTAATATTAACATAAAATCTCTGGAGATCCATAAATTGCTAGCTAAACTTTAAACAAACTACATTCGTATTCAAGTGTGACTAATATCAACATAAAATCTCTGGAGATCTATAAATTACTAGCTAAACTTGCACACTTTAAGGCCCCGAAATTAATAGAGGGTGTATCTTGAAAATCAACTAGCAAGAGCACCAAAAACAGTACCATGCTTAACTTTCAAAGTTAATCTTTATGATATCGTGAAAATATCATACGTGATTCATTAATAAAATTAAAACCTAAAGCAATTGACCATAGGCATTCAATCAGGGCCAATATCACCTTTCAACCATTCCAAACAAAGCATATAAAATTTATTCATTACAATAGCTTAATTTCTTTCCACATTCCTAGAGTACGGGTAAAAAAATAATAATAATAAAAATAAATAAATAAATAAAAAAGAAGCACCCAATCTTTTCTGTTGGCCACTTTTTATTTATTTATTTAATTTTATACCAGTCTAATATTGTTTAAATATAACCTTCAGAACACATATTAGTCGTGTAGTTTGAAATGTGTGCATGATCTTAACGAAATAGAAAATATTTAACATGCTAAATTCAGTTCACGAACTTATGGAATAAATTAATGTACCAGATCAACATAAAGCTATAATTGGAGTCATATTACAAGTTCAAAATTTTATGAAGTAAACACTAGCAATATAACCGAATGAAACTCATATATTCTTGCCCACAGAGAAGCCTCTAGTTTGTATTTTACATAATTAACACTTGGTTTACACCATAGATACGAGTTTGAGCATACGTAATGGCAGTTCACTTTATAAAATAACTACAACCACAAATCTTGTCATTTTATCTTCCTCCTTTGACACGCAAATGTGCAAACCAAATGTTAGCAGAAACTTAAACGACATCAAATGTGAATCAGAGTTTATTGAATGCTGGGGGAGAAAAGACCTTACCAATAGCTCCAGCAATAAAATGTGCCCAGTGGCCGTTAAGGTTTGGATGTGATTCTTCAATCCACTTCTTGGTAGACTCTATGACACCAAAATATGTTGCTCCAGTTGCAAGAGACCCAGTAACCCCAGGAGCTATTCCTCTATAAAATCCTATCAATGAAATTAGTTCAGACAATACATAAAAAATAAAATGTGAAAACGAGCAGACACAAGAAGAGTCAAAAAGGAATCCCAGCTATTCAAGTTCCATTATATCGGATGGTATGCACATCAATTGTGGAAAATATGACATAATGCCATGTTCTTTATGTTCAATGGTGTATCATCTCCAAAATGACTAAGAGCTACTAATAATTAATTCATAAATGAAAATTCCCAATGTGGATATATGATAGTTTATGGGAACACATTCAATAAACAAATAAAAATATCTGTCATCTACATAATCAGAATGTTAAAAAAGTGAAAGATGATGTACCTTTTAGTCCATCAGTAACCCAGACAGTTCGGACCATCTGTAATATGCTTTTCTGGTATTGATGGTAACAAAGCAACATGTCAATAACACTCAACAAGAAGGAGAAAAACAAGAAAAAGTATATTCTTCGGTAAGAGTAGTTTCATAACTCAAAAACTCAACCCAAGTTCATTTTATGTCTTGTCCCAATATTAGAGGTCCGATAACTAGTTTTATTCAGTAAGAAAGTATTAAAAATGCTATGTCGACCATTATTAATTTCATAAAACCTAACTCTTGTTTCTCCATATGATAGCATGACTGATCAATACCACCAAAAACTGCATACCTGGTGTCCACCAAAAATAGCTTGACTTTGAATCCGTGTTTTAACGGTATCAATCGGATGCATCATCCCTTCTCCAAAAGCACCGGCAATACCTCCCCACAAGAATTCCCTCCATACTACACCCAAAAAAGCGCATACTGATTAACAATTTCTACTAGTGCAATAAACTATAACAGAACTGTTTAACAAATCTCACAATAATATTAGCAAACCTTAATAAACATCAACCATGAAGACAACTAGATAGTTAACATTAACACCACCACTTCAATTTTCAAGGAAAACAATCAAAGTATCACAGAACTAAAATCGTGTACAATCTCAAGACTTGACTACATAGAACTTTTGGACCTTGGCTTCCAATTTACACTGTGACTACAGATTAGGCAAACTAAGATATAAAAGTGTAATAACATGTATTTTTGTGTGTATATCTTCGATATTATATATCTGATATCATATTCTGATTCAAAAACATATGGTATGTGTGCTTTTAACAGAATTATATCCAAAACTCAGGATTGATCTGAGAATCGACGATTGAAATGGAAATTATAGAGTGAAGAACAGCACACCGAAGAACTGATTGCTATTCGCCTTGTTTAGTTGAAGCATTGGAGCTCGTTTTCCGTCTGTACTTGAACTCGAAAGCGCCATAAATTCTGCAGAGGAAGATTTCTCCAGCTCTGTGTGTGTCTAAAACTCTCTGCTTCTAGTTAGGGTTTGTGTGGGATTTGAAGAGGGCGCGCATTTTGATGCTCTTAAAAGTGGTATTTTCAGCTTGGGGTCGGTTTGGGTGTATAAAAATGAAGGTGAAATAATAATATTAAAAAATATATATATGAATTAAATACGAAAAGAAATTACTAAAAATTAAAAGGGTAAAGTACATTAAACCCCCCTAAATTATTAGGGTATGTGCAAGAAAACCTCCTGAACTATAAAAATTATAAAAAAAACCCTTGAACTATTGGGGTATGTGCAAGAAACCCCTCTAAATTATAAAAGTTGCAAAAAACCCTCCTGAACTATTAGAGTATGTGCAAAAAAACCCCCTGAACTATATATTTTTTTGCAGTTTACCCCATCCACGCTAATTGATTGACTGAAAGTGACGATGAAGCCGAGGAATTTGTTGTTGGGATCGGTGGGTCCCTGTCATAGCTCGATCATAGCCGTTGCACCACTAGCCAGATCCGTCGGCCATATATATCGCACTTCTCTGCACCGTTGCGTCAACCCATCGCCGTCACCGCCTTGCCCGCTGTTCAGCTCACCTTGCTCGCCGGTCCATTCCATCATCCATTCCAATCTCGCCGGCCCATTCCGCCATCTCCATAGCCGAGCACATCGCCGTCCGTGTTTCGAGCACATAACCATCCATAGTTCACCGCCGAGCCCCCTTGAGCTCGCCGCCACCTCCACAGTTCACGGCCAAGTCAACCGAGCTCTCATCACAGCCGAGTCCTCCGCGCACAAGCCGCCATCATCTGAGACCGAGCCATCCCACCGACTTCGGATTTCTTTGGTCTCTTCTCTCTCTCTCTAGCTCTCAGTTTTGGGTTGTGTTGGGTGAAAGGCATCTTTTGGCAGAAAAAAAAAGTAAGAAGTGTATAAGTTAAAATGACGCAGTGTACGTGTTATAAGGGTAAACTGGTCTTTCAAAATTTTCGATACCGGAAGTTGATGTAGTGGGGGTAAATTGCAACAAAATCATAGTTTAGGGGGGTAAATTGCAACAAAATCATAGTTCAGGGGGGTTTTTTGTAGTTTAGGGGAGTTTCTTGCAAATGACCAATAGTTCAAGGGGGTAAATTGCAACAAAATCATAGTTCAGGGGGGTTTTTTGTAATTCAGGGGGGTTTCTTGCAAATGACCAATAGTTCAGGGGGATTTAATGCACTTTACCCAAATTAAAATTTTAATTAAATACGAAAATTGATTAGTACAATCAATTTTATTATACTGTAATATATTACTCCATACAATAATAATAAATAATATATTTTTTTATTTCATTAATCAACCGATGCGAGACCAGATTGTTACAATGAATTTTTCTTTCTTTTCATAACTATTATTATTCTTTCTTCTTTATTTTTTTTTATTCTTTTCTCTTTTACTATTCCAACCATTACTCTAGATGAAGTCAATGTTCAAAGATCTTAGCAAAACAAGTTTTGAAAAAAATTTAATGTTGCCTACATTGAATAGATACTTTGAATTTTAAATTTTTTTTTTAAAAAAAAAAAAATTTAGTTCAAAATTTTAATTAAATTTGTTAATTTCAAATTCACTTTATTTATAATTTTGATCTCTTTAATTATCAAATAGCATCTAATTCAATAATATAATCTTCTGATCATCTTTATGGAGAGGTGGAGTTGAACCCGATCGTGAGAAACAAAAAACAAAAAATATGTCTAATGGTATGGTGGTTGCGCATGTAAAAAAATAAATAAATAAAAGAATTGATTTCACATTATTACCAGCCATATGACCTTTGTACTAGTCATGCAGTCAATACCTCTTTACAAAATTGTGGCTAAATTTGTTACGACCCTGGTTTTTAGGCCAGTGCGTCAGTGATGAACCGAAAGTTGACCCGATATCGAGTCCGAAATGCGGAAGCAAGCGATAAACCAAAATCTTTAGAGATATAAACCATCTCTAAGACACTAACGTGACCTTCCATGAAGTCATGAAGCTCAAAGGGAATGAAAGAGAAAACAAGGGTTAAAACGGGCAAAAACCGTGAACCAAAGGGCAAAATGGTCAACTCACCATTAAAAAGAGAAACTTGACTCTAAACAAGTCAAACAAGGTGAAAATAACCTAATCTATTCATTTCACAACATTCTAAGAGGTCCTAAGAACATTGGACAAGAATCCCACAAAATGCCCTATCCCGATTAAAGTGAAAACTGACACTACTTCACTAAAATATGAATAACTCCCACCATAATTGTAGTTTGAATGTATGGTTGGTGTCATTGGAAAGCTGACTTCAAGCTCGTGAATTTAGGCTCAAGAATCACCCCATATGGGTTAGAAAAGAAGAAGTTATGGCCGTTTGAAGTCGAAACAACAATGCTGAAACTGAACTGAAGCAACTCTCGGGATCAGGCTATTTCGGTCGACCGAAATGACCCATTGGACGACTGAAATGGACAAAATTTCAGCTGAAAACAAGTTTTTTAGGCTTGGTTGGTTTGGTACACCAAAAGGAACCATCGGTCGACCGAAATGAGCCTAAATACTGACTTTGGCTACTGGAAAGTGAAGTTTCAAAAACCAAAGGGGCTTCGGTCGACCGAAGTGGCATTTCGGTCGACCGAAATGACTCGAGAAAGTGCAAAAACCACCTGTTATGCACCCAAAGCTGAAAGTCTACTTGGAATCCCTCATGGCATGTTCAATTCACATTATATGCAAGTGTGTGATAATGTGAACATATACGCAAGTGTAATATAACATTTGAAACATGTTGTAATGGCCTGCGGCCTCATTACATTCCATTTACAAAATTTCACATGTCAAACCTCCAAGTTAGAAAAATTACATTTCATAGACAAATCTTAACATGCCAACACTTGCATGTGAACAAGAATGCTTCTAAAGAGACTTCAACTCTGCAATTCACCCAAAGCAAGTGCGATTCTCCAAATCTTGAACCCTGTAACTAAAATATGCCCCAATATCGTAGGGGTGAGTAACATAAAGTTACTCGTAGGAAATGAGCATGCATAGACCTACGTTTTACAATTTCATCACCTTAAGGTGAAACTTGTTAAAGAGACTCATGCCACCTAACGTCTATGTCTAGATGAGACTCCAGGAGCATCCTAAGCTACCCTAGATCATTTCTAGCATAAAACACATCCTTTATGCAAATTCAATAACACAAGAGCATGGTACACATAGCAACAAGATATAACATGCTTACACAAAGCAACTAGATAGAAACATGCTTACACAAAGCAACTAAGTAGAAACATGCTTACACAAAGCAACTAGATATAGATTCTCAAGGATATCAACTTGAAATCTAAATGCTAAATCAACTAAATATAGCAATCTAGTATAATTAGAATATCTAATACCACACATCAAGACATAGATTCTCTAAGTTATCAACTAGAAATCTAAAAGTGTGAAATTAACTAAATATAACAATTTAGTATAGATGTACTTAACAACATCAAATCGCCGATTGCCAAAACCACAAGTCACAATATAAACATGATTGCAAACTTGGAATTGAATGCGAAAACAAATAGTGGAAGACTTGGACATCAAAGCTCGGATTTCCGCCGAAACAAGGCAAATTTGGAGCTACTAATCCCCAGGCAGCCTATCCAACGCGCAAACTTTTGACTTAGAGGACTCACGTCCCCGTACTAGAGCCAAACTCTAACCATCTGATAAAACAATGTCCCAAGTAATTCTAAAATAAGCCAAATAAGTTCACAACTTATACATGATTTATATAATGCACGAAGTCACCTTCCGTGCACAAGTAGATTGTAACCACACAATACATGCTCTAAATCCACAACTACTATAGGATGATAATGTCGAATCTTCAGAGTGCGATTCGTTACACGCTATAACAATATAACGCAATATTGAAGACATAAACTCATAAATTCATTATAAGTCAAAGGTCATGCTTTAAACACACTATCAATGTCAAATACATGAGTTAATCAATAATACAATAGAAACGGAATTTAATCAATAAACTAATTAAATTCCCTAGGTTTCAAATTTCAATTAAATGGCCTCTAATTGATACATGATAAACAATATAGCATGGTCATTACATACACCACATCAAAACTCGATTAAGCTATAAGAACAATAAAGTGGAATTTCATTAAATCATGATAATCAAATCCCTAACTTCTAAAACATTATCAAATGGTTCCAAATTAACATATGCTAGAACATAAGTCATAGTTATCATAAATATCAAGTTAAACACTTAATTATGCCAATGGAACCCTTAATTAGATTTTAATTAATTATTTTAATTAAAATCTCTAGATTTTCATACTTATCCAAATGCTCTCAAATTAAATTATGTTAAATAACATGCCAAGACATAATTTAAAAGCATATCACAAGTCAATTTCATGCAAGGTACGGCCATGTGATTTAATCTTTCATGTAATACCCCTAATTTTAAAAGGACAGTCCTGGAATTTAATTTAATTATTTATTGTATTTTTATTAAATTAATTGATTATTTGTTTGTTTTGATTAATTAATTATTTACTTATTTGATTTATTTTATTTTTAATTCAATTAATTGTGTTTTTCTTTCATTAATCGTTCTAAATTGGGTTTTCTTTAATTAATTGCTTAAATTGTATTTTGATTTGTTTCATTAATTTAAATGTATTTCTCAAGTTTAATTAATTACGTGCTTATATGAATTCACTGTTTTGGTAATTAGGGTTTCATATTTTACATCGTGTCTAGGATTGGAGCCGACATATAATTGGTTTAGGCTTTACTTTAGGGTTTGGTTTAGGATTTAAATTAGGGTTTCAATTAAAACCTATAAATACATAAGTACGGATTGCCAAGGGATTTGTTAACCCTATTCATGTAAAAAAAAGAGTTGTGAGAGACAAAGAAATAGAGAGTGAGTCTGACTAATATACAGAGAGGCTCAAGGAGGAAGGAGTGAAGTGCTTTTGGGTTGAACCAAGAGCACCGGAGGTGGTGAACGGCAGCCTAGGACGTTGACTGGAAATCCAGAGACATTGGTTTACAGTTTCAAAATCTGAA